ACAGAGAGGATAGGAAAAAATGCAGGAATATATAACAGTAAAAAAAAATATATATATATATATATATATATATATATGTATATATATAGTGAAAAGACAAAGCTAAACCAGAACAAAGAGCTTGTGAGCAGAACAAAGTGACACAAAGGACACAGGAAAAGGAAATTCTACTTTCTTGAGATATAGATACAAACCTATTCTAAAAGGGAGAATTCAAACATTCTAAAAAGGCTGTATCTTATACATAATAATTATTCACACTACAGACTCAATATCTGGAAGTTAGAATTTAGTGTTTTCATTCCATTCTCACATTTTCTTTTTTAATTCTATTTGGTTTCTGGGACCACAGTTCTCTAACTGGTTCATGTCCCTAGAGTCGGATTGGGTCTACATGAGCCACTTAGAGGCCAGACTTAGCACTTCATCATATCTGCATCCCACATGTAGATTTTCCCGAAGATTTCAGCCCCTCACCCTCCAGCAAAATATAATCCTAGGTCTCTCAGTTCTTTCCCCAGAGTCTTTACCCAAACTTTTCAACTTTAGTCAGCAAAACAAAGTCCTCAATTGGCTGAACCCAACTTTCCCAGAAAACAATTCTGCAATCATTTATTACTAAAGCATGCTCCTTGGGGGTGAGGCTGTCAACACATGCTTTTCAAGGTATTCCCCTACCAAAAATAGCTCTCTTGCCCAGGCCCAGTAGCTCACACCTGTAATTCCAGCACTTTGGGAGGTCAAGGTGGGAGGATCACTTGAGGCCAAGAGTTTGAGGCCAGCCTGGGCTACTTAGTAAGACCCTGTCTCTAAAACAAAAAACAAAATAAAAACCTGTTTTTACAAAATTAAGTGGTCAGGTGGCATGCACCTGTAGTCCCAGATACTCAGGTGGCTAAGGTGAGAGGATCGCCTGAGCCCAAGAGTTAAAAGCTGCAGTGAGTTATTAATTTAATTATAGCACTGCACTCCAGCCTGGGCAATAAAATGAGACTCTATCTCTTTAAAATAATAATAATAAAAAAAGGATCTTGAGGAGGCAGAAGGAAAGGAGTCTACTGCTAACAGAAAACAAAATTCCCTTCTGTGTTATTAACCCATGGCAAAAGTCTCAGTCGTTCTCAACTCCTTTGTCTCTCCTCCACACTCAGTTACCAAACCTGGCCAGCAAAAATCCTTAAGAACGCCCAACGTCACCTCTTTCTCCCTGTGTCCTCTACAATTGCCTTAATTCAGGCTCTTATCTCTTGTGGAGCATTGCAATCCTTCCTAATTAGTCCCTTTTCTAATTCATCTTCTGCATTGCTCTTAGAATTATCTTTCTAAGAATAAGGAAGAAGATGGTAAGATTCACAGCCAAAATTTCTTTAATAGTTTTCCATGATCAAATGTAATACAATCCATACTCCTTGGCCAGGCATGCAGGACTTTGCCACCAAGCTCACCCATTTTGTGGCTTCATCTTCTCATATTGTCCCAGGTCTCTTCAGCCTATGCAAACATCTTTTTTTCCTCCAGGTTTCTGTATCTCTGTATATGCAGCTCTGTCTGTCTCCTGTGATCTTCTTTCCCCTCTCCATTTAGTGAGCTCCTACACATCCTTATGCCTCAACTCAATTGTCTCCTCTCAGAAGCCTTCCTTGACTACCACCCTCTTCTCTTTGCCCTCAATCAACCACTCAACCCAGACCCATGTAGAATGATACACTGTCTCCTTTGTGGTTCCATAATGTCCTGTCCATTCCTCTATTGTGTAGCTATATACATATCACACTATATACAATGGCTTTATCCATTAAAATTCTGATGTTTTTCTTGTCAACTCCAATGCACATTTTGATAGATTCAAACATTTGGGCTCTACTTGATCTGTTGCACCTATATTCTCCCTAGTATTGTTTTCCTTTTCATATTTGTTGCTTTTTTTGTTTCTTTTGGGGGCATACCAAATTTCTGCGTCAAATTTACCAACTCTTTTTCTCTGTGATTGCTTTTAAACATAAAACATCCTCTCATCCAGCTATTAGATAGATATTACTTTTTTATTTTACCTAGACTTTTTGTTTGATTTTATAAATTTAAATTTTTAATCTTTATGATATTTGCCTTATGCAAGATGTGACACAAAGATCTAATTACATATTTGCCTATTAGATAACCAAATAGTTCATAAATCTTTTGCCAAATAAGCGTTCTTTTCTATATTACTTTTTATGGCTTTGTATCAGTTGTAAAGTTCTTATATTTGTTAGAAACTACTTCTAGGCTGTTTGATCAATTTCTTTTGAGAAAGAAAAAATTACCTCAGACTAAGAAAGTAAAACTTTTCCTGGCTATTCTGCAAGTTGCTGTAGCCAGATGCAAGATGAACAGGAAACCATGACTCTTCCAAGAGTACCCTACTGCTGCAAAGTGTCATAACAGCCATCTTTTGGGAGTGGCCGCTGTTTCTTACTCATTGGAAAATCTTTTTGTTGTTGTTGTTTCTTTTTTTAAATTTTTTATTTCAGCATATCATGGGGGTACAAATGTTTAGGTTATGAGTGTTGCCTTTCATCTCCCTTCTCCTCCAGAGTCAGAGCTTCAAGTGTGTCAATCTCCAAGATGGACATTATGTATGTATGTACCCATCCCCTCCTACCCCCTCCCACCTGCCCAACACCTAATAAATGTTATTCCTATATGTACACTTAGGTGTTGATCAGTGAAACCAATTTGCTGTGTAGGAAGTAAAATCTTATTCTTTAAAATCATAGACTCTCAGAAAATTTGATTTTTGAAATTGTATCACTAAGAACAAAATATCCCATTCCTGCTTGGAGGATCTAACTCAACTTTCGAGCACAGTAGTGGCCTTGAACAACTCAAGTGCAGAGGTTCAGTTAAGAAGTTTTTGAAAACAGCATTCCACCTTTATCCAAGGAAACAAATATCTGGTTCATTTCACAGTCTCATCATCAAGTCAACCCCTTTACTCCCAGCTTGGTTTTGCTTTGAGCCTATCAAAAAAAACTAGGCTTCATGGTTCTTCTGTCATGGTTGCACAGTCTCCATTGTTGCAATAAGTCAATGAACCTCACTTCATGGGACTTATCGGTTCTAGTCATTTCATGTTCTTTATTACTATTGTGAATGGGATCCATTTTTGTATTATATTTTAATTGAATATTGTTTGCCTATATAAATATTTTGGCTTTATTTTGTATGTGGGCACTGGCTGCTCTTTTATTAATTCTTAAAATTTCCCAGGTACATCCAAAATGGCCATAAGTATGTTAAATAATGTATTTGTTGTAATCTTTTTTAAAAAAAAATAACTTGAAATTTTGATGCTGTTTATATAATATTACGCTATTGATTCCATATTCATCTTAAAAATCCACTATTCAATTTCTAGATTTTAAAGATATTTTATGAGGAAGAGTCTTGAATATGTTGAATGACCTTTTGAAATCTATTCAAATAATCATCTGTTTTCTTAAAACATGCATTGATTAAGATTAGACCACCTTTCTTTTTTCTCGTCTATAATTCTCATTTAGATACCATGATGAATAGCAGAGCCACTTAGATTATTAACAGAATCAAAGGACACTTTGGTTGTGGTTCTCACCTTTTGCATAGAAGAAAGCATAACTATACCCAAAATGTCCCTGAGGCTATTCAGGGAATCTGGCCAGCTTGGATCCACCCGGTGAGACCAGAGTCTGGACTGGACCACAGCGGACCAGGTGGAGAGCTGGTGACTAACAGGTCCCTCCTGAAGGCGGGAGTTCCCGCCTTTACTCCAGCGCGAGCCCTAACTTCTTACCAGGCTGTGGCGGGGAATCGGTCCCTGGGGCGCTCCCATTAGCCACCTTCCCTCTTCCCTCGCCTGCAACTGATGCTTAGGAACGTGCCAGCCACAAAATGACATCCTGGTGGCCCGGGCCCCAGGTAGTTTGGGGAAGTTCCTGGGGGAGGACACCGCGCAGTGCAGGGGCGGGAATCTGCTCCGCGCGCCCGGCCTGTCCGGGGCTCCCGCGACGGGGGACGTTCCAGAGGGGCCGCTCCGCCCTCTCCGGGGCCAGGCCGGGCGCGCGGCTGGAGTCCCGGGAAGCCCCTCGGCGCGGCCTCCTCTCCCGGCTGTCACCTGGGGCGGCGAGAGAGGAACCTACCCCCGTGTCGCCGGCGGGACAGGGACCCTGGGAGCGCCCTCGGGCGGGGTGGCCCCGTCGGCTCCTCCCACGCGCCGACCTTCGTCCCGCCCCCGGCAGCGGCCCGGTTCCTCCCGCCGCGCGGCCGCCGCCCCTCGGGCCGCCCTGCCCCGCCCCGCCGCTCCGGGAGGCCCGTCGCCAGCGCCCGGGAGGGGATCACCTCTTCCTGCCCAGGTAGGGTCGGCGCGCCGGCCGATGGCCGCGAGCGGGGCCGCGTGGCGCTGGGGCGTGTGGCGCGCTCGGGCCCGGGAGCGCGAGGTGGCGCGGCCGCCCGCCCGGGCAGACCCGGGACGGCGTGGGGGGCGGGGACGTGGGCCGGGAGGACGGGAGGTGACGGGTTGACGCTAAGCGCGAACCTGAGGCGGGAACGCGAGGGCGAACCTGAGGGGCACCTCGAGGGGGTGACGCAAGGGGACCGGGAGGACGGGAGGTGACGGGTGGACGCCAGGCGCGAACCTGAGGCGGGAACGCGAGGGCGAACCTGAGGGCACTCGAGGGTGAGCGAGGGACCGGGAGGACGGGAGGTGACGGGTGGACGCCAGGCGCGAACCCGAGGCGGGAACGCGAGGGCGAACCTGAGGGGCACCTCGAGGGGTGACGCGAGGGGACCGGGAGGAAGGGAGGTGACGGGTGGACGTGAGGCCAGAACGCGAAGGGGGAACTTGGGCGCGAACGTGAGGGGTGCACTCTAGCAGCGGACGTGAGGGGAGACCTGAGGGGTCCCTGGAGGCGGAGCGCCTGGTCCCGCGCTGGTCGGGGAGCTGTGGCTCTCGCGGGCTTTGCTGCGCCGCCCACGAGTCACCCCGGGTCTCGCTTGAGGGAAATTGCGTTCGGGTGATTTCTCCAGAACCAGGTCGGTGGAGCTGGGGTCCCTGCAAACCCAAATGCTCTGTGAAGGGGTTTTGCTTTTAAGGAGAGAAAGTGCACGCAGCAAAGTGTAATCTTGAGAAATGGAGAACTCCTACCGGAAATCGGTGTCACTTCGGCTTGCTCATCAGCCACCCTGTTGATTGTTCTCCAAGTGGCTGTTAATTCGCACCTTGCGAATTTTCCCCTTCAAGAATAACCTTGAGGCGCATGCCTGTAGTCCCAGCGACTTGGGAGGACTTGGGAGGCTGTGGCAGGAGGCTGAGGCTGTGGGGTCAACTCCGCTTGACCCCAGGGGTTTGAGGTTGCTGTGAGCTAGGCTGACACCTAGCACTCTAGCCTGGACAACAGAGTGAGACTCTGTCTCAAAAAAAATTAAAAATAAAAAAAATAAATTCTTGAAATAGTTGTTGTAATGCCACTAAAATTAAAAAATATGTATGTATTTTTTTGAAACTCCAAAGAATCTTCATGGGGTTTCTTGTCATTTCGGCAGTTTTCTTGGTGAATTAACTGATTGTACCGGTGCTCTTAAAGCCTCTTAAAAATTTTTTATAATTCACATTGATCCAGTTGCTTTAGATAAAATTGTTTTATGCCAGCACAGCAAATGAAGTGCTTAGTGTTAGTTGTGTAAAAGTGCTAAAACTGAATTACTGAGGACTAAATTATAGTCCTGCTGTTCCCCTAAAAGTTTCTAAGTTCAACTTCTGATTCCTTTCCCCAGATCTCTAATACCATGATCTGCTGTGGTGGTGGTGGGTTGCAGGCCCAGGGCTCCAGTTGTAGCTTGGACACAGTATTCTATGTCTTGGTATCTGAACATTATTATGCATTATTTTCAAGCTTTGGTAAAGGTAGATGATAAAGTTGACAATTTTCCTGGATTTGCCATATTCTAAGTGCCAAGTTTTGACAGCAGATAAATGAGAGTACATGTTATTCATGCCATACTGATTTTTATTGCATTATAAAAGATAATTGTCTTAAAATGGGAAAATTTAGAGATGCATGAGCTTTCAAAGATAACTTATTCTTTATGACTACATTGATGTGATGTCTAGTATGTGAAAAATTACCCTCATTTGTCTTAGTCTTTTTTTATTATTATTGTTGGGGACAAAGATAATACAAAATAAAAGATTCAATTTGGTGAACTTTAATACCAGCTTAGTATATATACATTTATTAGCAAAGATTTTGATCACATCTCATAATGAGATAACATCATCCTGCCGTTCCTTTGTCAACTCTATCTTTATAAACTGATGTTTTTGTGCTTTATGTGTTTATGTGTTTTATATTCTTTAAAAAATAACTTTTATCTTATCAAAGCCAAAATATTTGAAGGTCCATTATTTGCTACAAATAGTTTTGGTAAACAAATATTTGAAACCTCATATACTTTAAAATTTATAGTTCTTTTATGTAAAATATAAAGTTTTGCTGTAGCTTTTGAATTATTTTAATGACTTCTGTAATGTCATTTCTAACTTGTTTTTTACAAAAAAGGATCCCTTCACTAGTTTTGTCTATGAATTTGATAATTTTAAAGATTATATCTGACAACCCCCCATTCCCTAGTAACAAGAAAGAAATTCAGTTATCTGTTAGAACAGCGGTCCCCAACCTTTTTGGCACCAGGGACCAGCTTCACGGAAGACAATTTTTCCACTGACCAGGGATGGGGGATGATTCAAGTGCATCACATTTGTTGTGCAGTCAGACCTCTCTGCTAATGATAATCTGTATTTGCAGCCGCTCCCCAGTGCTAGCATCACCACCTCAGCTCCACCTCAGGTCATCAGGCATTGGATTCTCATAAGGAGTGTGCAACCTAGACCCCTCGCATGCACAGTGTACAATAGGGTCCTTGCTCTTATGGAAATCTAATGCCACTGGTTGATCTGACAGAAGGTGGAACTCAGGCACTGATGCGAGCAATGGGGAACGGCTGTAAATACAGATGAAGCTTTGCTTGCTTGGCTGCTGCTCATCTCCTGCTATGTGGCCCAGTTCGTAACAGGCCTGGGACTATACCAGTCCATGGTCCAGTGGTTGGTGGCATTAGAGGGTAAATAGATTTCAATTAGGCTTTCAAATAAATTCACAAAAGATCACTTCCACTTTGGGGATCCATAAGGAGTCAGGAACCTCAGTTTAGGAAGCATAATTCTTTTGAACTGAAATTACCTCTCATTGAACACCTAATTTCTACCATGGTTTGACCTGGTTTGTTTCTTGACTACCATTTACAAACATTATGACCTTAAAAACTTTCTAATCTTTAGTATCCATACCCTTTAGTGTGCTAGCCCTTGGATTACTCATTTTTTTCTGATATCTGACCATGTGACTAGGTTTATGTTTATTGGCCATTTCTTAATAAAGAACACAAAACCTCATGTAGAAGTCATAGGCTGATACTTGAAAGGCTGAATTTGACCTTCAGATATGTTTGTTTGAGTCAGCTCAGTACTTTAAAATAATGGATTTATTTACCAATATTTTCAAATTAGTAAATTTTGCATAAGATCCCAGAGTCTTCTCCAGAAAAGCTAGAGGACCAGGCAAGACAGGGCTTGCAGCTGCTATTGGCTAAAGCCAGAATGCGGTTGCCCACTTTGAACGGGCGTACACTCTCCATTTTGCCACGTCACTGCCACTCTGTGCTTTTGTTTCATTGAGACCTGCTTCAGGCATGTATTTTACCTCCCTTATTCCTGCAAACATTTGAGTTTGTGATTTCTGAGTCTGAAAATATCCCTTACTAACTTTAATAGTTAATTTACCCAATTTTCATCCTTAAGAAAGGAGAATAATCCTGTATTAAAATTTACAAAGCATTTCCTCATAAAACTCAAGTGATACTCATATCAACTCAGAGAATTTATTCAGACATGCATTATTATCCCATTTTACAGCTGTGGAATTGACTGATAGATTTTTACTAAAGCTTAAAGTAGTGATCTGGTGACAAAGTTTTTGGGTTCTCACTAACTCTACTTTTTAAAGATGGAGAAATTTTCTTTTCTTTTCTTTCTTTTCTTTCAAGACAGAGTCTCACCCTGATGCCCTGTGTAGAGTGCAGTGGCATCATTGTAGCTCACCACAACCTCAAACTCCTGGGCTCAAGCAGTCCTACCTCAGCCTCCCCAGTGGCTGGGATTAGAAGTTTTCTAGGAAATGATAGCTTTTCTTTTGGTTGTAGCATTTATTTTAAGCAAGTGCTTTTAGCCCCGTAATTACAAAGGGAGAAAATGCATGGTAGAGAGCTGAATACATATGTAAAAGTACATAAGTAGACTTTTTCTTTCCCTCTTTGCAAAATGTTTTTAAGCAAATTGAAAGGAACAAAGCATTGGTTATGACTCATTCAAAACAGACCATGCATCTAACTGAACAAGGTCTGTTTTAAACTGTACTTTATTGTCTGTGTTATTGGAAAGCTGGAAGGTATGTGTGTCCAGTCTATCTAGTCTGTAGTTAAGCTAGACCAGATTTCTGTGAGTGCTATGTTTTAAAATTCTGAAAATTGTTTGGTGATTCAGCCTGTTGTTTTATATGGCAAACTCAAATTTTTTTAGGCTTCTTTTAACCAGGAAGGCTTTATTTTATCACTTTCATAATCATCCCAGGAGATAATAATCCATACAATAAATTAAAACCAGGGATACTGCACTTACAGGTGTAATAATCCGGTATGGTCCAGATGATGTGACTGTGTATGAGAGAAGTTCAAGCCAGTCTTGCAGAGGTTTTGGGGAAACATCTAGGCAAAGACAACAGCAGGTCCTGAGGCAGCAAAGGGTGTAAGTGTTCTAAGACTTATGTGAACAACGGAGGCTGAAGTCATTGTGAGTGACAGAGAACAGGAGATGAGTTTCGGGAGATCAGAAATGGCCAGATCATTCAGGATCTGGAGGTCATGGTAAGAATGTGGATCTTGAAGGATTTTTAGCAGGAAAATAAGATGATTTTATTACCTTGTTGAGATCATTCTGGCTGCTCTGTGGAGAGACAAGTTCTACAGCTGACCTGCTGACATTCCAGTGTGCCCCTTCCATCATAAGCAGGAACTTCTTTTGCATCTGGCATAAACCTTATGTGGTACAGTTTAAGCAGCCTGGCAGAAGTGGGTGCATAAAGAGAAGGATCTTTGAATTATATGCTACAGAAAATATAGGATGAATGTTTATAAAAGTGAGAATCATGATATTCAAATATTGCTTCATTTTTGGTAAAGCCATCTGCTTCTTTCTTAACATGTTCCAGATCATGGAGCAACTTGCATTTTCACTGAGAAATGGTGTTCTCTGCACGTATTTTGGAAAAGTGAATGTTTAAGTTTAGTGATATTTGCATTATATTAGAGGGAAAATGCTCCTATATTCATTTATGAAGTAGTTATTGCTAAATTGGGTTTTTAGCCTCTTCCACTGATAGATTTGGTCATTACATGTAAAGTAGTATGAGATACAGTATTTGGCAGGAGTGATTTTTTGTTATTGACTTATATATTTTCCTTAGAAATTGTATAAGTTAAGAATTAAGTGTTTGGAGTTAAAGTATGATGGCCCATTAATGCAAATGTTTCAAGAAAAATAGCTTTTATTTTTCTATTTTTTTCTTTTACAATATTATTTCTGGGAAATTGTCCATTCAATGTGTTTTTAAGTTTATTGATATGAAATTAACTTTTCTACTCTAATTTGTTAGTCTTTTCATCCTTAATATTACTCATCTGTACCTTGTCTTGTTTGTCTTTTCCTTGATCAATCTTGACAGGGATTTTTCTATTTTTTAAAAATACTCTTTGAAGAACTGTTAATCTATCAATCCTCTCATATGTCTTATTCTTTTCACATAATGTCTTTCTTTGATTTCTCCTCTTCTTTTTTTTCTACTTTATTTGGTGGGTTCATTTTGTGATTATATGACTTTTAGCCTTTCTTTCTATTTATTTATTATTTATTTATTTATTAA